TCCTACACTCCTTGGCAAATTATGTAACGGTCTAACAATGTATGAACAATTTATGAAGCAGTCAGAGCTATTGCCATAAACAAGGCGCGGGGGAAAAAATAAAAACACTTGATTTTGTTCACTGCAGTCTTCTCGGCCACAACATTTCCTGAACGTTGGAATTTTTTTTTCCAATTCTGCAGTTAAAAAAAGATCCCATTTTGTGTAGTGGTTAAAGGCCTTGAGCCGGACTTGGAGAGACGAGTTCTAATCTTGCCTTAAACACGAAGCCTGCTGAGTGACTTTGGGCCAGTCTCTCTCTCTCTCACTCTCTCTCTCTCTCTCTCTCTCTCTCTCTCTCTCTCTCTCTCTCTCTCTCTCTCTCTCTCTCTCTCTCTCTCTCTCCCTCCCTCTCTCCCTCCCTCTCCCTCTCTTCTCTCTCTCCTTCTCTCCCTCTCTCTCAGCCACAGGAAGACGTCAATGGCAAACCACATCCAAAAAGGTGACCAAAAAAGACCAGCAAAAGTGTTCTCCATGGAGTCACCAGGAATTAAAAACTGACTTGAAAACACACACATAAACACAAAGAGGAGAACAAACACGGTTCTAAACAGCAGGAGCCCGTCTCTCCCAGCCCCGCTCGTGGTGCCAAAGACGGGAGGTCAAAGGTGGGGTCTAGGCTGCAGGTGGCCCTCTGGTTTCCAGAAGTGCCATGCAGGAAAGCAAGGAAGCTTCCCTCGGTTGGCTGGGTGGGCCTGGATGCCAGCTCTGAGACAATTGCGACGCGCACGGAACAGATGGTACCCTCTCCCAAGTACCCGAGTGAACACCCAGTTCAGCTTTATGACGCTGAGAGTGTTACCCGCTGGGTATTACGATGCCTTTTTGCTCTCCATAGCAACCAGCCAGCCATCCAGCACTCACAAAGGGATGGGGCTGAATCGAGCTCACGTCCTTGCAAGCCCTGGACCCTCTTAAATATGGGGGGGGGGAGGAAAAGTTCCTGGTGCATCCTTTGTTTATCTTAACCATAATAATGAGGGTTTGTCTGTCTCTCTGTCTGTCTGTCTCACTCTGTGTATGTAGGAGTAAAGTTTGGGAAGGGAAGGGAAGGGGAAGGGGAGGGGAAGGGGAAGGGAAGGATAGGGAAAGGAAAGGAAGGGGAAGGGGAAGGGAAGGGAAGGGAAAGGGAAGGATAGGGAAGGGAAGGGAAGGGAAAGGGGAGGAAAGGGAAAGGGAAAGGGAAGGATAGGGAAGGGAAGAGGAAAGGGAAGGGGAAGAGAAAGGGGAAGGGGAAGGGGAAGGGAAAGGGGAAAGGGGAAAGGGAAAGGGAAAGGGAAGGGAAGGGGAAGGGGAAGGGGAAAGGGGAACGGAAGGAGAAAGGGAAGGGGAAGGGGAAGGGGAAAGGGGAACGGAAGGAGAAAGGGAAGGGGAAGGGAAGGGAAGGGAAGGGAAGGGGAAGGGAAGGGAAGAAAGTAGCAAAGCTCACATGCACCAACTCTCAACAGTTAATCAACCTACTAAACATTCAGACCCAAGGAAAGACCTCCTGGGTGTAACAAGCCAAACATTTGCCTAAATGCAGAGCAATCATGTCAAACAATTTCTTACACTCTCAGTTATATTAGCAGCCAGGAGTTCTTCTCTGGAAGGCAGCACTTGGTTGTGTGTGTGTGGGGGGGGGGTTATTAACCTGAAGCCTCTTGTGTGCCAAACCTCTGCTCTTCTGTTCAGTGTAGGCCTCCCTCACACAAGGCCCTCTGGGACTTGCCCATCTCCCCAGGAGAGGCCAGTATTCAGAAGATCAAAATGCCCGGGCATTAGCGGAGACAGAGACGGCTTCTCCCCCTTCCTCAGTGTTTCCTGACCCCGTACAGTTCAGCATCTCTTCTCATGTGACAAGAGACGGTCTTCCAATCACGAGGGTCTGTTGATGATGGCTACATCTCAGTTACCATGCAAAATGTGTTGAGACGGTCAGTCTAGACCAGTGGTTCTCAACCTTTTTAATGCCGCGACCCCCAACCGGTCATAAGTCAAGGACTACTCAACCGGTCGTAAGTCGAGGACTACTCAACTGGTACAGCCCCGTTTGCAGAATGGGACTTTTGGCGGGCTCAGCAGGGCAGAGACAGCCTGGACAATTCCTATTGGCTTTGGAAATAGAGTCTGATTCTATTGGAAAGCCAATAGAATCAGACTCTATTCAAGAGAGTCTACTCTATTGGCTTTCAAAAGCCAATAGAATAAAAGGGAGTAGCACAGCTAAGGAAAAGGGGGGGGGGAAATGCGTTGTTTGGCGACCCCCGTGAAATGGTCGTTCGACCACAAATGGGGTCCCGACCCACAGGTTGAGAACCACTGGTCTAGACTTACACACAGCAGATCATGAATGATCACAAACACTTGCATATTCAATATAATCCCCCCCCCCCCAAAGCATATGAGGAACCGCTCATGAAAAAGAGAAACATATCCTTTTGCATTAGGAAAACGTATTATGAAAACAACAATACACCTGCAGAATCAGGTGCCTGAGAACCACAAGATCACCTGCCAGAAACCAAACCTTATATCTTAAAACCCTATTCCCTGAAATAAATAGAAAACTCATTGTCAAAACTGCAAAACTTCCTCGCCAAGTATTTTGTATTCAGCATTAATCAACTGAAAAGATCAAAAAATCTTCAGCTGTACAGTTGGTTTACAAACATCTTGAATGATTATTAACTTACACTAAGTATCAACAAGCTTCTTACAACCTTTGAACATCACACCTTAAAAAGGAGAATCGACTGTCAGCAGCTTCTATTAGATAAACATGGAAATTGTCAAAACAAAAAGACACATTTTGCTCTTAACTTGTTGTTAGCCAGTATCTAGGCAGTTTCAAGAATTTTGGCTTGGGTGAACTGCCGTTCCAAATTATTTTCCCCTTCTGAAACAATTCAGTCTTAGCCCCTTGCATAACAAGCATCCATGTCTATATCAGTAGGAGGATAAAAAATAAAACAGTAAGTAGCTTAGAACAATATTTTAGAGCACATTTCATGACATGCAATTTGACTTTGTTACTTGGCACTATGAGATAAGAGTATGAAACGTTTATTCAACAACATACTCAAGAAAATGTTTGCGTTAAAGTTTGGTATGGATGCCAAGCAACTAATCAGAAAGTTATTTGTTTTGAGTGTTCAAAATGGAGCCACACAAACCTTTAAGTTGTGAATTCCCTTTGGTTACTTCCCTCAGTGCTCCACTAGGTGTCTGCTGTAACTAAACTTTGGGTGGGAATGCTACATTTTTTTTAAACAAATTAAAGATAATTTCCTTGAGAGCGAATTTGCTATAGGGGTTAAGGCATCAGGCTGGGATCTCAGAAACCAGGAATTTGAGTCCCGTTTCAGATGTGAAACCAGTTGGTGACCCTGGGCCAGTCTCTCTCTCTCAGCCCCAGGACGCAGGCAATGGCAAGCCGCTTCTGGAATCTTGCAAAGAAAACAGCAGACGTTTGCTAGGCGGGAGTCAAGACTGATTCAAAGTTTACGTGTCTGTCTGTCTATGATAGCCCCATAAGACAGGGGTCTTCAAACTTGGCCCTTTTATGACTTGTGGACTTCAACTCCCAGAATTCCTCAGCCAGCATCGCTGGCTGAGGAATTCTGGGAGTTGAAATCCACAAGTCATAAAAGGGCCAAATTTGAAGACCCCTTCTATAAGAGGAAAACAATAAGCAGAATCTCCATACAATTAGAGAGAAATTCATCCCTCAAGTTCATTTTTATCCACTCTTATAAAGGCACATAATAAATCTCAAAAGACAAGTTCTGGACTCAAGACAAATATCTTCTTTTTTTTACAACTAAACACAAAATCAACCTGTTCTTCACTATTTTAACTCTTGTTCAAAGGATGACCTAACGCACTCTGTCTCTTGAGTAATAACCCCTAAAGGAACCTTCGAACACGAGAAAAGTGGAACAGGAATAAACCGCATCCATACACAATATTTTATTTTATTTTTTAAAAAGAGGGAAAACAGTGTCTGCAGAACGAATGAAGTTTTAAAAAGGTGAGAATGTAAGCAAAGCACACAGCTGACCCAAACTAAGTAACATCATCAGGGCTAGTCCTGTTTTTATCTATCATCAGTCCTTTATCCTATCCATCATCAGTCTACTAGCACTGATGATGTTACAGAGTTTGGGTAATGAAACATCTGCAAGAAAACAAGCAAGCTCAGAGAGCATCAAAGATCCCTCAACTCTTCAATTGTTTACTTTGGTTAAGACAGGGGATGTGAAAGCTACAAAGAACCAGCATGGAACCAACGGAGGAGCTGGTACCTGGGTCTGGCAAAAGCTAGGAAGCATGGGACAATGTTGAGTAGGCTGCACGCGGGTACCACAAGATCCAGAGACGCTCTGAACAAATGGAGCTATCCGGTGGCTTCTGCTCATTGTGATTGCGGTCGACATGCAGACAATCACACCTATGTATACCTGCCCTTTGTGTCCCAATCAGTGTACACTTGAGGACCTCATGGCAGCACAAGAGAACTCAATTCATGTTGCTAGTTTCTGGGCAAGATCTGTTTAATGTGTACATATTTTAATCTTGTATTTTATATTTTATGTCATATAGAACACCTTATGTGAATTGTGATGTTTCTGACCCAAACCAACAGGGTTCAACATATCAACATATACTATGGTTAGATTACACATTTAACAGAAGTAATTTTTGCAGGAAAATTGTTTTCACACCTTTTGATAGTTTGCAAATCAAACCCTCAAGTCTCTCTTACATGTATGTATGTATGTAAGTATGTATGTATGTATTTCAAAGAATGGAATTCACATTTATAGCCCTACTTGCTGGCAGGCAAACAACTAACCCACGCAATGGAGAAATCTATGTGGATTAACACACATCAGAGAAGCAAAAAGGGGAAGAAGGAAGCAACGTCAACTTGACTTCTCAGATTTAAAATTAATTTACAAAAAAAGAAAGAAACTTACAGTCTCTCCAACTCCTTTAAGTCTTGAAAAGCTCCTCTCTCAATTGTAGTAATCTTGTTTTCCATGAGTTGACTGAAATGCAGAACAAAATGCTTTGAAACTCCAGTAATCAAACAGTGATTAGCCCACCCATTATTACAATACCTGGCAGTGGGTAAGCTTACAGCCACCCCTTCTGATTAACTCTGCAATTCTCACTCTATTCTTAACTTTCCATCCAATTTAATGTGTTAAGCCTGTCACATGATATTGCACTGTCACTTAGAGGGAGACTAAACTCTCCGTTCTTTAAAAAAATAAAAGAGAGAGAGAGACAGAAAGACAGATCGACCTTAAGCCTGTTTAAGAAGTTCAGGGGTCAGAGGTGAGGAAAATGTATGTCTTAATTACAAAAAGCAAAGCTACTGTTTAACGACAAAGTTTAGACGTATGTACAGAGCCAAATCTATGAAGTACGTTGTGCCAACACAAAGCATGTTTTATTTCACAACAGGAAGAGTCAGGATGTTTCTCCAAAGTTTAAAGCTTTTCATTCAGGAAGGATGGATCAAAATAGGGCAAATTAGTTACAATTAAGCCCCAGAACAGAGCAATTTTCGGTCACTGGTGAGAATTACTCTTCACAGCAGATCACACACACAAACGCACGCACACAAAATCCCAATACATACACAACACACCCCTCCCCCAAATGTATCACCTAAAGCAGGAGTTTTTCAAGAGCCCAAATAACTAGGTACAAATTTAATCTGAACCAGAAAAATAATCCATGGCTTTATCGTGTTAAATTTATTTACTTAATTAAGTTATCCCAAACACTCAACGTATTTTAAAAACTATTTTCTGATTTGTTGGTTTTGCAAAATATTCTATTCCGTGTGGATTGCTAAAGCACATTCATTTTTGAAATTTCACATATTTTGCAATATTTATTACTACAAGGAGTAACATAAAATCACAAGTGGTTACAATCCAGACTTGCTACTGTGGCAGTCTTCCAAACTTTTAAGTCCTCTCACAAATGCCTTTTCTTTTACAATGTAGCTGCTGTTATTTGAGACGTTCATTAATTTTTAAAAAAACAGTCCTATTCGTTGAAAAACTACTTTGCATAGGACTGAAGTTCAGTAATAAAATTCAAGAAAAACTTACAGAACACGAAGGTGTCTTAGACCAGCAAAATCCGTTCTTGTGATCCTTGTGATATTATTTCCATTGAGATCCCTAAGAAAAACATATTAGCAGTAAAATTAAACATCCCATAAACACTAGTCATGCTTCTTATTTTTTCTAAAAAGCTAGAAATGGTTGCTAGCATATCTGAAGATTAGTACTTATGTTAACTTGTTAAGTTTAAGTTGCAATTCTCTAAAAAAACAAAAACAAAATGTTATCGGATAAATTTTGCTTTGCTCTCATTTACTGAAAAACATTAATAGGGATAACCCTAAGGACTATTTTCATTAATTTGGCTTTTTATGACACAAATAGTTATGATTGTTAACTTTTGCTTGTGTTTCTACAGAGTTGTTTTCTTACAGGAATAGCCTGGTGATTATGTAACAGATATAAAATAAAGACACATTTATGCAGACAGGCTTGGGGGAAACAATTTCAGGATACGCAGAAAGCAGAGAAGTTCCAATTATATGCCAGGACTTCTAACCATGATATTATAGTGAGTTTTTCCCTATTAGAAACAGAGAGGGAGAATAAGAGCTAGCAAAACTCTTGGCATCCACAGGTCAAAGGAGAGGAGAATGGAATAAACCACAGCACTTCCTCACAATTCTCGGCTCTTTTCAAAACAACATGAACTCCGTAGCGTTTCTTATATAACAAAAATAAACACCTACACCATTAAACTAACACTTCTGTCGATGGAGGTAAAATGACACGGTTTTAATAAAAATGAACTTTTGTTAAAAAGTGCACAGGGTGTCCAAGTTCATCTTAGAAATGTTGCTGCAAGTGTAATATACAAACAGAATTGAACAATTATGGAAACGCTTTTTTTTTCTGTGCAAAAATTCAGTTCAGCCCATGTCGTCAGTAATAAATGAAATGGCCGTATCCTTTGGGGTATATTATTGAAAAATAACTTTATACGGAAAGTAATTTTTGAACATAGGAGTATTGTTCAAGAAGGAAACAGAGGATAATGGGAGCAACCAGAAATGATCAACGCAGGGACAATTTTTTTGTTTTTCAACAGTGTTTATCAGTCACTTATGTTTTCCCTCTCGCTCCCCGAAAAACAATTTTTCATCTATTTCCAATTTTTCCCAACCGCTTAAATAAAAATCTTCCAAAGCAACTTGCTTTTCGTAATGTAACAGAATGGGCTCCAGCTAACCTTTTCTCAATGTTTCATCTCAATTTGGAATCATAAATTTTGTTTGGAGAGGAACACGGGCAACGCTAGAGCAAAAATCCTAAAACAATTTAATATTTAAGCCGGATCTAATAATTTAATATTTCAGCTGGATCTCTCTACCTCTGCTGAAAAGAGACCTTCCTGGCTTCAAAGCCGACCATCAGCACACGTAGGTTACCGGAGGGCTAAGTAAGAATCTCAACCGACTTTGAAAAAGCAAATTTGCCATCTTCCCTGGCAGAGGGGGAAGCGTCTCCCAGACACCCGGGCCTCCTTGCCAGGCTATTAACCCCGAGCCCGCTCAGGGGAGGAGGGCGATCAAAAATATAAAACGACGTTCAAGGAAGGGCCGAACCAGCCACCCCAGCTGGGACTTCTACCCTTCCGGACTGAAGGATGGCAAAGGACGCTTCCTAGTGGACCCACACTTGGGGTCTCCCTCCGGAGTTTTCTACCGGCAATCTCCCGGGAATGATGTGGTTTTGGGGGAGAAAGGGGCGTCTTTTCAACTAAGCGGAAAGGAAGGAAGAACGAGGGGGGAGGAAGGAGCCAAGGTCCAGCTCCCGCTCGCCTGGGCTGCCCCCCCCCAGCAGCCCCAAGCCTTGCTGGCCGAGGGGCAACGGGGGAGGGAGGGAGGAGGGGCAGCCAAGACGGGGAGCTGGGGGCTCGCTGCTTCCAGGGCTCCCGACGGGACTCCGGCAGGGGGACGGAGCCCCGAATCCAGAGGCAGCAGGGGCGGCCGAGGGCGCTTCTTTGCTGCAAGGGAGGCACCGGCGCGCTTCCCCGGCCGGGAGGCTGAAGCGGGCGCGGCGCCCTCGGCTCGGCTGCGCCTCTGGCCAGGCAGGGGCGAGGGAGGGAGGGAGGGAGGGAGAGGAGGAGGGGAGAAGCCGGCCTGGGGGGCAAAAGCGGCTCCGCACCCTAAAGGCAGCGACCCCCCGCCCGCCTCCCCGCCCCGGGCCCACTTACAGCCGCTCGGCGTGGCGGGGCAGGTTCCGGGGGACGCTCCGCAGCGCCAGCCCGTGGCAGTCCACGCTGGGGCCGGAGCAGGAGCAGGGCGGCGGGCAGGACTGCGCCCCCCCCGCGCCCGGCCGGAGCAGCAGCAGCAGCAGCAGCAGCAACTTCATGGTGTCCGCTCGGCCGCGCCGCCCCCGGACGCCTCCTCGGACCTCGCCGCCGCCGCCGCCGCCCCCTGCGCCTGGGGATGCGCGGCCGAGTTCCCGGGAGCGGGCGCGGGCTGCCCCGGCGCGGCTCTTCCCCGAGGGTCGCGCGGGATGCGCCGCCGCCGCCGCTGCCGCCCCTCAGAGAGGCTCGTCGCTCGCGCCCTCCTCAGCGCCGCCGGCCCGCAGCCGCCCGGCTAGACGCCGCCGCCGCCGGAGCCCCGCCGCCGCCGCCCGCGCCGAGCTGCATTGCGACCCTCCGAGCAGCGCCGCGGCTCCCGGGCGGAGCAGCCTCCGCCTCCCGCGCCTCCTCCTCCTCCTCCTCGCCGCCTCCTCCTCCTCCTCCTCCTCACGCGGCCGGCCCCGGCTGAAGCCCCCGCCGCAGCCGCCGGAGCCGCATCGCCGCGCGGGCTGGGAGCGGGACGGGCGCCGCTGAGGCGAAGGGCGGACGGAGCGAGCCCAGCCGCCGCCGCCGCCTCCCCCGCGCAGGCAGCCCCGAGAGTGGCCCGTCCGCGCCCGCCGCTTCCCCCGCCGCCACTTTCCGCGCCCGCCAGCCGAGCGCAGCCCCCGCGCAGCGGCCGAGCCGGTCCCGGCAGGTAAGGCAGCCGCCCCGCCGCCAGGCCCCGCCCCTCGCGGCCCGGCGAGCGAGGGGAGGGCCAAAGGGCGGGGAGGCCTCGCCCACCGCCCGCCCCTCCCCGCGCGGCGCCGGCCGGCCGCGCCTCAGGTGAGCGGCGGGCGGGCAGGTGCGGCGCTGCCCTCCCGGCGGCTCCCCTGCGCCGCCCCTCCCCTCCCCTCCCCTCCCCTCCTTGGGCTTCGGCGCAGCGGCCCTCGGCCTCCTCCGGCCGCCCGGCTCGGCTCGCCCTCCTCCTCCGGCCGGCGGCGGCGGATTTGCGCGCGCGGCTGCCGGGCCGGGCGCGCGCCGGACGCGAAAGAGGACCGGGCGAGCGTGGCCTGCGCGGGGGCCACGTCCTGGGAGGCCCCGCCGGGCTGCTGGGGGGGGGCGAGCGGCGCTGGGGCCCCCGGAGCCCCCCCCCCCGCGGCTCCTCCTTCCCCCCCCGGCCTCTCCCGGGACCTCCATCCCGCCTCCGCCCCGCTGTCTCCAGGCCGGCAGGTGGGTGATCCTCCCCCTGAAGAGCCCCGCGCCCTCGCTCTGGCCCCGGGGGACGGATCCACGTTGGGATCCATTAACCCAGGAGCCGGGAGGAGAGCCGGCCCCGCTTCTTGAGGGTAGCCGCCATCCATCCATCCATCCATCCATCTCCCCCCCCCCCAAAAAAAACAACCCCGTTCTGCTCAACTAACCTTGAGGTCGTGGCAGGTGAAAATAAGTTGATTAAGTGACCTCAAAATATCGAGTCCGTCATAAGAAAACAAAACTAATTTCTAATTATATCTGGATTTAAACCATTGAACTTATTTTGCGTGTTCTGAAGAAGTCGTGAATCTTCAATCCTTTCTAATAAAGGTGTTCTTTTGCTGTGACTTCTGCAGCCTCTTTTTCGTGATTTTGTCTTGAGAAGATCTAAGGCTGTTTCCAAAACATTTTGACACAGAGTCGTTAGGATACAAAAGACGTAGGTCAGATCTAAAAGTACCACCACCACACAGCTGCGGTGTCCATCATTTTATGTTTTAATCAATAAAACATAAGGTCCCCACGAGTTCCGTATTCAATAATGGGGTAAAAATGGGTTTCAGTAACAATTTGTATATAGTTAGAAAATTAGTTATTTGAGTTAATTGTACAACTACCTTTTAATGTGCTAGATTCTTCTGATCCATAACCATCTCATTACACAGCCTGCAATTATTTTTAAACCCTGGTCTTTAAATTATGCTGTTGAAAAATAAACATATTTAAACCTACAGTCCAAAGTATTTCAAATTACAGCTCTTGGCTTGTGGAGGTTGGTTAGTTGATCGTGCCTCTCCAACCGTTGTAACATTTATTGATTATTGTTTAAAAGACAACATTCTGTAACTTTTTGGAAGTGGTGCCATAAAATATGTAATTCCTATTCCCTTGTAACAAACATTTTTCTTAAATCTGCAAACCTTAGAAATGGATGTTACGAGGATAGATAATTCTGCACCTTTCAGTTTCAATCAGTATTTGTTAATTGGACTTTGAATTTTAAATGCACTGCTTGTCTTATGCTCATTTACTTTGTGGTGTTTCTGCCACTCTGGCCAGAATCACAAATGTCCTCTGAGGAATCTTTATGCACACTACATGTTCTAGCACAAATGGGAAGAGGTGTAACATTTTGGCTGTTGATTCTAATCAGAAGGAGGGTATGTTTCATTTGATGATGATGATGATGATGATAGTAACAACAATAATAATAATAATAAAGTTGGAAGGGACCTTGGAGGTCATCTAGTCCAACCCCCTGCTCAGGCAGGAAACCTTATACTATTTCAGACAAATGGCTGTCCAGTCTCCTCTTAAAGACTTCCAGTGTTGGAACATCCACAACTTCTGGAGGCAGGTTGTTCCACTGATTAATTGTTCTAACTGTCAGGAAATATCTCTGCTACGGTGAGTTCAAATTTCTGAAAAGCCTGAGGTAAAATGCATTATGAAAAAAAAAGCAGGGCAGAGATCAACTCTTCTGAGAATAGACGCTGGAATTTCAGCAAATATTTTGAAACACTTTATAATGCAGATGTGGCAAGAGGTCTTTCAAAAAGGCATCTCCCAGATGTTTTACTTGGATATCAAGTATTTCCCTGGCACTTAGAAGTCATTATGGAATGATTTCCATAATAATTGTCAAGTGCTGGGGAAATCTGGAGATTCAGGCAGTTCAAACAAGTATAAAAATTTATTGAGAGCTTAGGTTCTCTACAAGAATCTGAGCTATTAGCGGTCAAGGGAAACGAATGGGAATTAAGGCATTCAAGGGGCTGGACTTAGATCTCTTCTGCGCATGCAGGGACTCATGAATAATAACGCATTTGACCCCTTCCTCAGGATCAGCCTGGTCATCTCCTATAATAAAGCCACCATGAAGCCCTGGTGGAACAGTGGTTGGAGTGCAGTATTGCAGGCTGATTCTGCCCACTGCCGGGAGTTTGATCCTGCCCGGATCCAGGTTGACTCAGCCGTCCATCCTTCCAAGGTCGGTAAAAGAGGAACCAGATTGTTAGGAGCAACAGGCTGATTCTATAAACCATTCAGAGAGGAGTGTGAAGTGGTATTTAAGTCCTAAGCGCTATTGATATTGCTATGAAGCACAATTTACTGAGTAGGAGCCTAGAATAGCTCTTATCTGTAGTATTGGGAAATTCAACAAGCACGCTCAAGCTATTTTCACAAAGGTAATATATGAAATACAGAACCAACGCTTGAATGTCATTAGTGTCTGTTAAATGAAACTGCGTGTATTTCCCCTTTCTGATTTGTGTGATAGGGGAAAAGTTACATCTGGTAGTAAATGGTGTACTAAATGGTTGGATGTTTATGTTAGGAAGTCAGAATTATTTAGGCCAACCACTTCAAGCCTTTTTAGGCACTATCTGGAATATAACTATCCATTAGTTCCTTTTTCAGCTTTTCTGATGGCAACGGTAGGTGGACAGAATGAAGTACACTTTCAAAAATGTATTTTATAGGAATTTAAACAAATAGAATTAAAAAGAGCCAGCGCTTATCATTTGCTCAAGACCTTGGGGGTCATCTAGTCCAGCCCCCAGCTCAAGCAGGAGTTCCTTTATTATTTTGAACAAATGGCTATCCAAATTCTTCTTAAAAGCCTCCAGTGATGGAGAAGCCACAACTTCTGGAGGCAGGCTGTTCCACTGGTTAATTGTTCTCACTGTCAGGAAGTTTCTCCTTAATTCCAGGTTGCTTCTCTCCTTGAGTAGTTTCCATCTGTTGCTTCTTGTCCCGCCTTCAGGCGCTTTGAGATATAAGTTGACCCCCTTCCTCTTTGTGGCAGCCCCTCAAATACTGGAATACTGTTATCATGTCACCCCTAGTCCTTCTTTTCTCTAGACTAGACATGCCAATTCCCATTCTTCATATGTTTTAGTCTCCAATAACATAACTGATTCCTGAACTTCAGGTCAGTAAGCGCTTTTCGGAAAAATAAATCTCAAAATGAATGTTCTACACATCCGTTAGGATTTTTGTTTTAAAATAAAAACAATAGGAACGTCACGAACAAAAGAAATGAAGCCCCAGGGGAAGATTTGGAATTTCTTCATCAGCCTAATCAAAAGCACCAGGTGTTCCATCAGTGGGAGTTTAATGACACACGTCCTCCTGACAAGCTAAGAACATCTTTACAGATTTTGAAACACAACCATCTATCACCATTGGGGAAAATCTTTGCCGATGGTCACAAGCATGCAGCTGAACGCATAAATCACACTTGTACCCCATCCATTTCGAGGCAACTGATTCCACCTTCCCAGCTATATTTAAAGTACAGTAGATTTTCCTCTGTCACTTCTTCGGCGGCTGAATGATCAAGTCCTGGGAAAATACAGAAATGTTGATTTGGCAGGTTTGAATTGGGATAAGATGAAGTGTAGTATGGTACTGGCTGTTTTTGACAATAACAACTTGCAGGCTTGTTGTTATTATGTTCTACCCATAACCCCGGGGGAAAAATATTACAAATTCATTAATGTTCTTTTATCATTTGTCCTTTGGTGTTTTTTTTTAAATAAATTAAAAAAAACCCACATGCATCCCAGCACATGGAGAGACAATTGAACGTAGCATCCCCCAAGAGTTAACAAAGTGTAATGTCCTCTTGTTACTATTGTCCAGTTAAGAAGTTATTTTGCCTGTTGGTTCTAGTGCATCGTTAGGAAAGTGATGTATTATTTTGTTAGAATGCTTTTAACCTATTTTAGTAGTTTCCTTGAACATTAAAAACACAAGTTATGTAAAAGGAAAGTGTATATGCTTTAATAATACATAACATCTGGAATTGCTGCCAGAGCTCTCCATTTCTTCCTCCAAAAAATACAGTTTCTATCAGAGATCTAAATAACAAGAGGACAAAGGCCTTGAAAAAGGTCGTATCTTAAAACAGCCAATAAAATCCTCCTACATTTTCTGTTTGGGGTTATAATATTGATGCCAGTGACTGCCATTTTAACCAGAGGTGAAAATAGCAAAGGATTCTCTCTTCTTGAACACAAAATAGGCTGCAAGCTAAGACTACTCTGAATAA